CGGTACAGAACTAATCTGTCCTTCCTCCTCATCCTGGCCGACAGGTTTAAAATAACCTGAAAGCTTCTGCATTTTTTGTAATAGCTGCTTGTCTCGAAACTCCTTTTCCCTCAACAATTTCCTTTTCCGAGCGCCACTCTCAAACCTTTTCGTCTCCGACATTTTCTCCTAAACAACCTTCATCTGTCACTCAATCACTCGCAATTTGAATAAGTCACATGTTAAACATATTCTCATTCTGATTGGCTGCTAAGTGGTGCCCACTGACTGAGTCATCATTTTTGAGAAAAATCTCTGGAATCCATCGATCTGATTGATTAGCGGAGCAAACGATCAAAATAGTATGGAGGGAAGGTATTTTCGTTTGGATTACTGATCTGGGGGAAGCTCACGAGTGTGTGTGTGTGTGTATACGTGTGTGTGTTTGTGTATTTTTGAATTTTTTTATTGGCTCATGATAGGCCCCCGATCTCCGTAGGCCCCTGGGCTTCAGCCCAGGTCAGCCCGTGCATTAAGGCGGCCCTGTCCGGGGGCATGCTCCACGGGAAGATATTCTGTAGTTATCAGAGCCTCTCAGTCTGAACTGTAGTTATCAGAGCCTCTCAGTCTGAGCTGTAGTTATCAGAGCCTCTCAGTCTGAGCTGTAGATATCAGAGCCTCTCAGTCTGAGCTGTAGTTATTAGAGCCTCTCAGTCTGAGCTGTAGTTATCAGAGCCTCTCAGTCTGAGCTGTAGTTATTAGAGCCTCTCAGTCTGAGCTGTAGTTATCAGAGCCTCTCAGTCTGAGCTGTAGATATTAGAGCCTCTCAGTCTGAGCTGTAGTTATCAGAGCCTCTCAGTCTGAGCTGTAGTTATCAGAGCCTCTCAGTCTGAGCTGTAGTTATCAGAGCCTCTCAGTCTGAACTGTAGTTATCAGAGCCTCTCAGTCTGAACTGTAGTTATCAGAGCCTCTCAGTCTGAGCTGTAGTTATTAGAGCCTCTCAGTCTGAGCTGTAGTTATCAGAGCCTCTCAGTCTGAGCTGTAGTTATCAGAGCCTCTCAGTCTGAACTGTAGTTATCAGAGCCTCTCAGTCTGAGCTGTAGTTATCAGAGCCTCTCAGTCTGAGCTGTAGTTATCAGAGCCTCTCAGTCTGAGCTGTAGTTATTAGAGCCTCTCAGTCTGAGCTGTAGTTATCAGAGCCTCTCAGTATGAGCTGTAGTTATCAGAGCCTCGCAGTCTGAGCTGTAGTTATTAGAGCCTCACAGTCTGAGCTGTAGTTATCAGAGCCTCTCAGTCTGAGCTGTAGTTATCAGAGCCTCTCCGTCTGAGCTGTAGTTATCTCTCTCAGTCTGAGCTGTAGTTATCAGAGCCTCTCAGTCTGAGCTGTAGTTATCAGCCTCTCAGTCTGAGCTGTAGTTTTCAGCCTCTCAGTCTGAGCTGTAGTTATCAGAGCCTCTCAGTCTGAGCTGTAGTTATCAGAGCCTCTCAGTCTGAGCTGTAGTTATTAGAGCCTCTCAGTCTGAGCTGTAGTTATCTCTCTCTCAGTCTGAGCTGTAGTTATCAGAGCCTCTCAGTCTGAGCTGTAGTTATCTCTCTCTCAGTCTGAGCTGTAGTTATCAGAGCCTCTCAGTCTGAGCTGTAGTTATCAGTCTCTCAGTCTGAGCTGTAGTTATCAGAGCCTCTCCGTCTGAGCTGTAGTTATCTCTCTCAGTCTGAGCTGTAGTTATCAGAGCCTCTCAGTCTGAGCTGTAGTTATCAGAGCCTCACAGTCTGAGCTGTAGTTATTAGAGCCTCTCAGTCTGAGCTGTAGTTATCTCTCTCTCAGTCTGAGCTGTAGTTATCAGAGCCTCTCCGTCTGAGCTGTAGTTATCTCTCTCAGTCTGAGCTGTAGTTATCAGAGCCTCTCAGTCTGAGCTGTAGTTATCAGAGCCTCTCCGTCTGAGCTGTAGTTATCTCTCTCAGTCTGAGCTGTAGTTATCAGAGCCTCTCAGTCTGAGCTGTAGTTATCAGAGTTTCTCAGTCTGACAGGAGAGGGCTACACCTTGTTGTAGAAACAGCTCTTTATATCCGTTAGCTCCTAGCTAGCACCAGAAGCTAACAACAACAATCCCTGGTACTGGTGCGCTCTCTCTCTCTCTCGCTCACTCACACAAAATGCGCTTGTGCCACAGACACAGAGCCGAGCTTGAAGGACACTGTGTGCTCCTCTGTGGCGATGACGGCGTGCGATTAAAACATAATAAGAAACCCATTTGAAAGTGGGGGGGACACCAACAGGATGTACCTGAATGGGCCGTCAGAAAAAATAAATATGAATTTGAGTCGGCCCAAAAGGCTCGTAGGCCCACCGCGAAGGTGCCAGTCCAGCCCTGCATGCATGTATTAAAGAACCCTAACGCTGTTGAAGCTAGAGTACCGTCTGTGGCACACATACATGTCCAGTTGCTCTTAATGTCTGTAAAGCCCTCTGCCTTGTGTTAAAAGCAGCTGTGAATAAATAACCTCTCCTCTGTGCCTCAGACCCTCAGAAGGAGCTCCTAATGGGGGGGTGAAGGAGGAGCGATTGCCCGAGCAGGACTGCATGCAGCTCAATCCGTCTCTACGAGGCATCGCCATCAACTCTCTGCTGGCAATCGACATCAGCCTGTCCAAGCGCCTGTCTGTCTGCGTGGGGAGACAGACAGGTGGCAAACAGACAGGTGGGAACCCTCTGAGCTCCATGGTGAGGCTGCTGGCTCTCAGCGGGCACTTCCTGCCGTGGATCCTCATCTCAGTGATCAGCCTCTGGAGCAGCAACACAGCAGCTGGACAGGAAGTGATGATCAACCTGCTGATGGGTGAGACAGGCTGTCTGTCTGTCTGACTGTCTGTCTGTCTGTCTCTCACCTGTCTGTCTGTCTCTCACCTGTCTGTCTTCCTGTCTCTCACCTGTCTGTCTTCCTGTCTCTCACCTGTCTGTCTCTCTCTCACCTGTCTTTCACCTGTCTTTCACCTGTCGGTCTGTCTGTCTGTCTGTCTGTCTCTCACCTGTCTGTCTCTCACCTGTCTCTCAGCTCTGGTCCTGGATCTGATGACGGTTGCCGGGTTACAGAAGTTATTTAAACGTCGAGGACCCTGGGATCTCCCTCCAGGGTTTCTGGACTACATCGCCATGGATACGTATTCTTTCCCAGCAGCCCACGCCAGCAGAGCCATTCTCGTGTCCAAATTCCTGCTGAATCACCTGGTGCTGGCTGTGAGTCCTTACCTCATCAACTGCTGACTCATGGTTAGGACTCATAATGCTGACTCATGTCAGGGTTTAGGACTCATAATGCTGACTCATGTCAGGGTTCAGGACTCATAATGCTGACTCATGTCAGGGTTCAGGACTCATAATGCTGACTCATGTCAGGGTTCAGGACTCATAATGCTGACTCATGTCAGGGTTTAGGACTCATAATGCTGACTCAGGTAAGGGTTTAGGACTCATAATGCTGACTCAGGTCAGGGTTCAGGACTCATAATGCTGACTCATGTCAGGGTTCAGGACTCATAATGCTGACTCAGGTCAGGGTTCAGGACTCATAATGCTGACTCATGTCAGGGTTCAGGACTCATAATGCTGACTCAGGGTCGCTGACTCATGAGTTGTTATTTTTTGCATTAGGAAAAGCGCTATAAAAATCCAATGTATTATTATAATTATACTGCTGACTCATGGCAGGGTTTTAGGAGTCATTCCCACAGCTCCTGTAGTAACCCCCATCCCCCCTCCCCAGGTGCCCCTCAGGATCCTGCTCTACCTGTGGGCTCTTCTGGTGGGTGTGTCCCGGGTGCTTCTGGGTAAACACCACCTGTCTGATGTGGGCTGTGGCTTCGCTCTGGGCTTCCTGCACTTCAGCCTGGTGGAGTCAGTGTGGCTGGACGCCTCCACCTGCCAGACCCTCCTCTCCATCAGCACCATGAGCTGGACCGGACCCTCCTCTCCATCAGCACCATGAGCTGGACCTGACCCTCATCTCCATCAGCACCATGAGCTGGACCAGCCCAGTTGAGATGTAACCACTTCTGCATTAATGTAGCTCTGCATCATGGACGTATGAACAGAACCATGTCAACAACTCTATAGCCGTCTGAGGCAGAATGTTTAATATCCTCTGAGACGGAGAGTAAGAACATTTACTAATGAACATCTGTACAAAACATGACAAACAAACAGCCATCAGGCTGCATACTGCTTCAACTCAAATCAAATCAAGTTTTATTTATATAGCACATTTTTAAACGATTTTTGGTCGAGCCAGTGCTGTACATATAATAAAAATACCCTACAGTAAAGACTTTTGATGTGGAAGTGGGCGTGGTTACATCTGACCTGGGTTGGAACGGCAGACGCCTGGTCCCGTGTGTTTACTCCGTGACGCTTCCTGTTAACACCGTCACGCTTCCTGTTAACACCGTCACGCTTCCTGTTTACCTTCGTCACGCTTCCTGTTTACACCGTCACGCTTCCTGTTAACACGGTCACGCTTCCTGTTAACACGGTCACGCTTCCTGTTTACCTCCGTCACGCTTCCTGTTTACCTCCGTCACGCTTCCTGTTAACACCGTCACGCTTCCTGTTGACACCGTCACGCTTCCTGTTTACCTTCGTCACGCTTCCTGTTAACACGGTCACGCTTCCTGTTAACACCGTCACGCTTCCTGTTGACACCGTCACGCTTCCTGTTTACCTCCATACTCAAGCTCAAGCCCAAGAACATCTGTTAGTCAGTGACTCTTGTTTGATCTGATTTGAAGGTCTATCAAAACTAACCAGCTCTAACTAACTCTAACTTATCTAAATAAATCGGGGGTAACCGATGAGGGTTTTGGTTGTGAAGTATTTCTTATATATTTCTGAGGTGCGACTGTCCACTTACAATGCTGCAACTTTAGTTTTTTATTAAATACACAAACAAACAGCATTGTGTTTCTTCCATGAAGTACGATAGCGCTGAAATCTAACACAATACATATTAAAGGTCTCCTATCATGCTATTTTCAGGCATATATTATGGGTCTCAGATATGTAAAAATATATAAAAACATGTCTATGAAGTGTTTTTCTCAAAATACAAACAGATCATGCATTTTAGAAATCCCTCATACCCCTCTATTCCAGTTGTACCCCCGTTTTTAGAGATTTGGGTACGGAGGAAAAGAGAAAGGGTTTTATTTTCTGACGCTGCGTGAGTTCCCCGATGCACCGGGGACATATATTTATGTATAAAAGACATCACAAAGTGCATTTTGCATGATAGGTCCCCTTTAAGCAAACTATGGCAAGCTGGATTAACAGATATTGATTACATTCTACAGATGGAGCATCTTATTTCAGACGGTTTGAAACGCGAGGGTCGTGATTGGTCCGTGATTGGTCCGTGATTGGTCCGTGATCGGCCCGTGATCGGTTCGTGATGAAGAGCCGGCCCCCAGTCTGACTTGATACCGCCCCCGTGATAAATACATTTAATTATTGTGAAGCCAGCTGCAATGGATCATTGATCCACCAGGGGGTGCAGTGGGGTTCCACACTGGAGCTCATGTGAAATCAACTTCGATACAGTAAACTGGATGTACAGTATGTCTGGTACTAATGTATAGCGGATCTTTGTTAAGATCCATATGTCACGGATAGGATCATAGTCTGTGCTAAATAAGACATGTAATCATTTACAAAACATCACCATGTTGTTATTTAACAAAATAATGTTGTTTAGTCGAAAAAAACGAACGAGAGGAAATGCAGCCGGCTCTCCCGATTTTTAATCCTAATTTAATCATCTTCACCACGATCATTTATGTTTATGTTCGCCGAATTGACATGAAATCACTGACAAATATGAATATTCTGTATTCAACTTCATTGAAACGATCAGGATCCCTGGGTGTTATTTTTCCCCACAATGACCAAGTCGCTGCAAATTATCCCGCTTATTACATGGCCACATTCTCAACAAAGTAACGACATGACTCCCAATCTTAATTGAAATGCTTTTATGGATTTAGAAAATGTTTTTATTGATTTAAAAAATAGTTGTATTGATTTAAATTGACATGCATCCGCTAAGAGAAATAGTCACTAGACACTTGACTTTTTATTTAATGCTTTATAACAGCTGTAATAGTTCCTCCGCAGCGCCGCACCCCTCCCTCCGGCTGAAATTATGAATGTACAGTAAGGCATATAGTAATCATAGATAACACGGCAGGGTCCGTTACAGTTTGTTTTCATCTGATTTCAAATAGACAAAGTCTTGGCTTTCAGAATATTAAACTTGTTAAGGCAAATTTAGATGATAAATACAACTATGAAGCTTGTAACGGCATAATTACAAGCGGAGAACGGAGTCATTTAACGTTACAGCAGGCATAACAACAGCCGGTGTTTATTTTATTATTATATATAGTCGTTATTCATTTGTTTTAAAGCTCAATAAGGAAGATTTAAACTTTCACACACGTTGACCGGCGAAAAACTCTGCCCGGTTCCCTCGGCCCCCACCACGTTGAATAAACAGAAGGCTGCTTTTGTGGAGGAAGTTACAGCGCTACGTACAGGCTCGGCATATGCAGCTTTTTCCAGCGGTATCCATAAATCTCTTAATTTTGACCTCAAAGTGCACCAGATTGATGCATTTAACTTCAATATAAAGAAAAACATCTTCTGTTGTTACAACAATAACATTATAAATAGTAACATAGCTGAACATGGTATTGCACATTTAGCTTTCAGTGTTACTGACCTGAGATGTTTTTATTACATGAATTAAGGTGACTGAGGCTTTTTAACATAGACTTTTCAGTGTCCCACATACCGTTCACCATCCCCCACCCCCCTACTGTATGTTGATTTTTGTTTGCCTACATGTAAATGGGTGGCATTTAGTACCTACCCCCCTCTGAGTGAATACCTGTTGTACCTGTCCGGGGCTAAGCCCATAGGACGATGCTCTGATGTCATCACCCTCGCACATTTGTCATATGTTTACAAAAAACGATGTTAACACTTTCTCGTTCTTAATATATGCTATATTTAGGGTCGATATGTGTTGAATTTACTTTAAAATAGCAGATCACTGTGACCGGATATAGTTTTTTCGGCTTAGTGAACGTGTGTTCCTTCCCCCCCATTGACAATTCATGAGCGTCTAACTCTTCCCCCCCCCCGTCGCACCTTCTAACAGAGCCCCCCCACATATCAAATCCCAATTTAACCCCTGGCCTCTGGAGCAGAAATGAAAGAGTTTTAAAAATGTTTACGTTTTGGTAAGTTTTTAGGGAAATGTTGTAATATTGCAACGTTGGCCTTAGGTGGGAGCAGAATTTCTGTATTTCTACTCACATTGTCTGAATAAATATATTGAACAACTAAGGGTTAATTTGCAGGATTGATTGCTTACTTAGCCCTATATCAGTATATAGCATGAATAATAATCACACATCACTCATATTTGTTATGAATAATCATTTATCCTTTATTAAATAGTAAGTCGCTTTGGATAAAAGCGTCAGCTAAATGCAATTTATGAAAGCCTCACTCAGGATTTTTTTACCAAGTGTAAAGTTATTTAATATATAAAGACTATATATTATTGAATTACAAGATCAGATATACTTTATTTTATCTCAAATATTGATGTGTTCAAATGCTCTTCTAAACAAAACTGAAAGACCATGAAAAGCTGTCTTCCTGTTTTTGTGAAGGAAGCGCCATCTCCTGGTTAAATCGCCCTCTTGGAAAATAGTGGGAGGGCTTAACATTCCCAGATACTGGTCTTTGGCAGGTCTTAGGCAGGTAACTGGCAGGTAGTAGGCAGGAAGCAGTAAGCTGGAGTCTGAAATAAGATGCTCCATCTGTATAGCTAACCCTGACAGGTTAAGTCAGTGAGAATTATTCTAAATCTAAATCTCAAAATTCAGACTTTTTTCACAAAATCTCAAAATCCTGAATTCTTTTTTAATTATTATTAATTGTTTTCTCGAAATTCTCACTTTTTTTTCTCATAATCTTTTCTTTTTTTTCTCATAATCTCGAAAATCTGACTTTTTCTCTTAAAAATCTGACCTTTTCTCAAAATCTTGAAAATATCACTTTTCTATCCAAATGTGACTTTTCTTCTCAATCTGAAAAATCTGACTTTTTTTCTTAAAAATATCACCTTTTCTCAAAATCTCGAAAATCTTACTTCTTTTCTCAAAATTCAGACTTTTTCCACCAAATTCAGACTCTTTTCTCAAAATCGTAAAATTCTGATTTTTTTCAGACTTTTCCCCCAAAAATCTGAATTTTTCACAAAATCTTAAAAAAATTCTCGAAAATTTGGACTTTTTTCTCAAAATCTTTAAATTGTGCTTCCTTTTCTCAAAATGTTACCCTTTTCTGAAATTCTGTAAATAACGAACAGCTCATAATTAAAAATCTTTATTTATAATTACCTGAGGAGAACAGAAAGAAACCGTTTGTTCCCACGACTCAGAGAGTCAGTGAACGCCACACAGACACATTCTCTCTGTCTCTCATATTCTTTAAAGGGGACCTATCATGCAAAATGCACTTGTGTACGTCTTTTCTACATGAATATGTGTCCCCGGTGTTCCAGGGAACTCACCAAGTGTCAGAAAACACAACCCTCTTTATTTTCCTCCATACCCAAATCTCTAAAAAAGGGGCTGCAACGGATCTGATAAAAACTGATCCAGATTTGAACACTGTCCTGACGTCAGGACGGTGGCGCTACGGCTATTGGGACAACTCCACCAATCAGGAGGAGACAGCCACGGCCATTGCCGTTCGAAAGCGCTGGAGACGCTGTAGTACATATGCCAGGCCTGTAGGTGGTGCTGTTCTCACAGAATCAGCCCTTGCTAAAACAGAGCTAAAAAAGTGCAAATTGAGCGAAATGAAGCATGGCTAAAATGCATGATCTGTTTGGTATTTTGAAAAAAAAAAAGTATAAATATGCCTTATATAGGTATGGTCCTACACTATATTATTCAAATATAGCATGATAGGTCCACTTCAAATCATTTTAATAAAAGAGCAAGTTAAGGTCTATAGGAACATTTAAACAAGAAGGGGAGAATCATCAGAGAAAATAATTCAAACATAATATTTATTTATATTTTAGGAACAAACAAAAGATTCTGTTCGAGAAATCAAATAAGGTCTCTTCATAAATTACAGTCTTCAATAAACAAGCACACAAAGACCAATATCTCACAACTGTCATCAAATATAAATTAATTCACCAACAGCAACATCAAGAACGATGTGGCTTTAGTTTCAAAGTCTTTCAGAGGAAGTCTCTTCAAACTAAAACAAACTAGTTTCAGCTGGAGCTTTGTTCCAACAAACCTCCCTTTGCTTTGTGGAGAGAAGACGGGACGGTGGATCTCAGTGACAATGGGTTCTGGTTCAGGGTCTGGATCTGGATCAGCTTCTGGATCAGGGTCAGGGTCTGGATCAGGGTCTGGTTCTGGTTCAGGGTCTGGATCAGCTTCTGGATCAGGTTCTGGTTCTGGTTCAGGGTCAGCTTCTGGATCAGGTTCTGGTTCTGGTTCAGGGTCAGGGTCTGGATCTGGATTCGTCTAACAGTCACTCCTCCACAGTTTGATGGTTTTGTCGTTTTCCAGCGCGGCTGAAGCAATGATGTTTTCTGTCGGGTGGCAGGCGGTGGAGATCACCACGTCTGCAGAGAAACACTTCAGATAGAACTACAACTCCTCCTACTGCTACTTCCTGTTATCAACGTGTCTGCAGAGAAACACTTCAGATAGAACTACAACTCCTCCTACTGCTACTTCCTGTTATCAACGTGTCTGCAGAGAAACACTTCAGATAGAACTACAACTCCTCCTACTGCTACTTCCTGTTATCAACGTGTCTGCAGAGAAACACTTCAGATAGAACTACAACTCCTCCTACTGCTACTTCCTGTTATCAACGTGTCTGCAGAGAAACACTTCAGATAGAACTACAACTCCTCCTACTGCTACTTCCTGTTATCAACGTGTCTGCAGAGAAACACTTCAGATAGAACTACAACTCCTCCTACTGCTACTTCCTGTTATCAACGTGTCTGCAGAGAAACACTTCAGATAGAACTACAACTCCTCCTACTGCTACTTCCTGTTATCAACGTGTCTGCAGAGTAACACTTCAGAGAGAACTACAACTCCTCCTACTGCTACTTCCTGTTATCAACGTGTCTGCAGAGAAACACTTCAGATAGAACTACAACTCCTCCTACTGCTACTTCCTGTTATCAACGTGTCTGCAGAGAAACACTTCAGATAGAACTACAACTCCTCCTACTGCTACTTCCTGTTATCAACGTGTCTGCAGAGAAACACTTCAGATAGAACTACAACTCCTCCTACTGCTACTTCCTGTTATCAACGTGTCTGCAGAGAAACACTTCAGATAGAACTACAACTCCTCCTACTGCTACTTCCTGTTATCAACGTGTCTGTAGAGAAACACTTCAGAGAGAACTACAACTCCTCCTACTGCTACTTCCTGTTATCAACGTGTCTGTAGAGAAACACTTCAGATAGAACTACAACTCCTCCTACTGCTACTTCCTGTTATCAACGTGTCTGCAGAGAAACACTTCAGATAGAACTACAACTCCTCCTACTGCTACTTCCTGTTATCAACGTGTCTGTAGAGAAACACTTCAGATAGAACTACAACTCCTCCTACTGCTACTTCCTGTTATCAACGTGTCTGCAGAGAAACACTTCAGATAGAACTACAACTCCTCCTACTGCTACTTCCTGTTATCAACGTGTCTGTAGAGAAACACTTCAGATAGAACTACAACTCCTCCTACTGCTACTTCCTGTTATCAACGTGTCTGTAGAGAAACACTTCAGATAGAACTACAACTCCTCCTACTGCTACTTCCTGTTATCAACGTGTCTGCAGAGAAACACTTCAGATAGAACTACAACTCCTCCTACTGCTACTTCCTGTTATCAACGTGTCTGCAGAGAAACACTTCAGATAGAACTACAACTCCTCCTACTGCTACTTCCTGTTATCAACGTGTCTGTAGAGAAACACTTCAGATAGAACTACAACTCCTCCTACTGCTACTTCCTGTTATCAACGTGTCTGCAGAGAAACACTTCAGTTAGAACTACAACTCCTCCTACTGCTACTTCCTGTTATTAACGTGTCTGCAGAGAAACACTTCAGATAGAACTACAACTCCTCCTACTGCTACTTCCTGTTATCAACGTGTCTGCAGAGAAACACTTCAGAGAGAACTACAACTCCTCCTACTGCTACTTCCTGTTATCAACGTGTCTGCAGAGAAACACTTCAGAGAGAACTACAACTCCTCCTACTGCTACTTCCTGTTATCAACGTGTCTGCAGAGAAACACTTCAGAGAGAACTACAACTCCTCCTACTGCTACTTCCTGTTATCAACGTGTCTGCAGAGAAACACTTCAGAGAGAACTACAACTCCTCCTACTGCTACTTCCTGTTATCAACGTGTCTGCAGAGAAACACTTCAGTTAGAACTACAACTCCTCCTACTGCTACTTCCTGTTATCAACGTGTCTGCAGAGAAACACTTCAGTTAGAACTACAACTCCTCCTACTGCTACTTCCTGTTATCAACGTGTCTGCAGAGAAACACTTCAGAGAGAACTACAACTCCTCCTACTGCTACTTCCTGTTATCAACGTGTCTGTAGAGAAACACTTCAGATAGAACTACAACTCCTCCTACTGCTACTTCCTGTTATCAACGTGTCTGCAGAGAAACACTTCAGATAGAACTACAACTCCTCCTACTGCTACTTCCTGTTATCAACGTGTCTGCAGAGAAACACTTCAGATAGAACTACAACTCCTCCTACTGCTACTTCCTGTTATCAACGTGTCTGCAGAGTAACACTTCAGATAGAACTACAACTCCTCCTACTGCTACTTCCTGTTATCAACGTGTCTGCAGAGAAACACTTCAGATAGAACTACAACTCCTCCTACTGCTACTTCCTGTTATCAACGTGTCTGCAGAGAAACACTTCAGTTAGAACTACAACTCCTCCTACTGCTACTTCCTGTTATCAACGTGTCTGCAGAGAAACACTTCAGATAGAACTACAACTCCTCCTACTGCTACTTCCTGTTATCAACGTGTCTGCAGAGAAACACTTCAGTTAGAACTACAACTCCTCCTACTGCTACTTCCTGTTATCAACGTGTCTGCAGAGTAACACTTCAGTTAGAACTACAACTCCTCCTACTGCTACTTCCTGTTATCAACGTGTCTGCAGAGTAACACTTCAGTTAGAACTACAACTCCTCCTACTGCTACTTCCTGTTATCAACGTGTCTGCAGAGAAACACTTCAGATAGAACTACAACTCCTCCTACTGCTACTTCCTGTTATCAACGTGTCTGCAGAGAAACACTTCAGATAGAACTACAACTCCTCCTACTGCTACTTCCTGTTATCAACGTGTCTGTAGAGAAACACTTCAGATAGAACTACAACTCCTCCTACTGCTACTTCCTGTTATCAACGTGTCTGTAGAGAAACACTTCAGTTAGAACTACAACTCCTCCTACTGCTACTTCCTGTTATCAACGTGTCTGTAGAGAAACACTTCAGTTAGAACTACAACTCCTCCTACTGCTACTTCCTGTTATCAACGTGTCTGTAGAGAAACACTTCAGTTAGAACTACAACTCCTCCTACTGCTACTTCCTGTTATCAACGTGTCTGTAGAGTAACACTTCAGATAGAACTACAACTCCTCCTACTGCTACTTCCTGTTATCAACGTGTCTGCAGAGAAACACTTCAGTTAGAACTACAACTCCTCCTACTGCTACTTCCTGTTATTAACGTGTCTGCAGAGAAACACTTCAGATAGAACTACAACTCCTCCTACTGCTACTTCCTGTTATCAACGTGTCTGCAGAGAAACACTTCAGATAGAACTACAACTCCTCCTACTGCTACTTCCTGTTATCAACGTGTCTGCAGAGAAACACTTCAGTTAGAACTACAACTCCTCCTACTGCTACTTCCTGTTATCAACGTGTCTGCAGAGTAACACTTCAGATAGAACTACAACTCCTCCTACTGCTACTTCCTGTTATCAACGTGTCTGCAGAGAAACACTTCAGATAGAACTACAACTCCTCCTACTGCTACTTCCTGTTATCAACGTGTCTGTAGAGAAACACTTCAGTTAGAACTACAACTCCTCCTACTGCTACTTCCTGTTATCAACGTGTCTGCAGAGAAACACTTCAGTTAGAACTACAACTCCTCCTACTGCTACTTCCTGTTATCAACGTGTCTGCAGAGAAACACTTCAGTTAGAACTACAACTCCTCCTACTGCTACTTCCTGTTATCAACGTGTCTGCAGAGAAACACTTCAGAGAGAACTACAACTCCTCCTACTGCTACTTCCTGTTATCAACGTGTCTGCAGAGAAACACTTCAGTTAGAACTACAACTCCTCCTACTGCTACTTCCTGTTATCAACGTGTCTGCAGAGAAACACTTCAGATAGAACTACAACTCCTCCTACTGCTACTTCCTGTTATCAACGTGTCTGCAGAGAAACACTTCAGTTAGAACTACAACTCCTCCTACTGCTACTTCCTGTTATCAACGTGTCTGCAGAGAAACACTTCAGATAGAACTACAACTCCTCCTACTGCTACTTCCTGTTATCAACGTGTCTGCAGAGAAACACTTCAGATAGAACTACAACTCCTCCTACTGCTACTTCCTGTTATCAACGTGTCTGCAGAGAAACACTTCAGATAGAACTACAACTCCTCCTACTGCTACTTCCTGTTATCAACGTGTCTGCAGAGAAACACTTCAGATAGAACTACAACTCCTCCTACTGCTACTTCCTGTTATCAACGTGTCTGCAGAGAAACACTTCAGATAGAACTACAACTCCTCCTACTGCTACTTCCTGTTATCAACGTGTCTGCAGAGAAACACTTCAGATAGAACTACAACTCCTCCTACTGCTACTTCCTGTTATCAACGTGTCTGCAGAGAAACACTTCAGATAGAACTACAACTCCTCCTACTGCTACTTCCTGTTATCAACGTGTCTGCAGAGAAACACTTCAGATAGAACTACAACTCCTCCTACTGCTACTTCCTGTTATCAACGTGTCTGCAGAGAAACACTTCAGATAGAACTACAACTCCTCCTACTGCTACTTCCTGTTATCAACGTGTCTGCAGAGTAACACTTCAGTTAGAACTACAACTCCTCCTACTGCTACTTCCTGTTATCAACGTGTCTGCAGAGAAACACTTCAGTTAGAACTACAACTCCTTCTACTGCTACTTCCTGTTATCAACGTGTCTGCAGAGAAACACTTCAGATAGAACTACAACTCCTCCTACTGCTACTTCCTGTTATTAACGTGTCTGTAGAGTAACACTTCAGTTAGAACTACAACTCCTCCTACTGCTACTTCCTGTTATCAACGTGTCTGCAGAGAAACACTTCAGATAGAACTACAACTCCTCCTACTGCTACTTCCTGTTATCAACGTGTCTGCAGAGAAACACTTCAGATAGAACTACAACTCCTCCTACTGCTACTTCCTGTTATCAACGTGTCTGCAGAGAAACACTTCAGATAGAACTACAACTCCTCCTACTGCTACTTCCTGTTATCAACGTGTCTGTAGAGAAACACTTCAGATAGAACTACAACTCCTCCTACTGCTACTTCCTGTTATCAACGTGTCTGCAGAGAAACACTTCAGTTAGAACTACAACTCCTCCTACTGCTACTTCCTGTTATCAACGTGTCTGCAGAGTAACACTTCAGTTAGAACTACAACTCCTCCTACTGCTACTTCCTGTTATCAACGTGTCTGCAGAGAAACACTTCAGTTAGAACTACAACTCCTTCTACTGCTACTTCCTGTTATCAACGTGTCTGCAGAGAAACACTTCAGATAGAACTACAACTCCTCCTACTGCTACTTCCTGTTATTAACGTGTCTGTAGAGTAACACTTCAGTTAGAACTACAACTCCTCCTACTGCTACTTCCTGTTATCAACGTGTCTGCAGAGAAACACTTCAGATAGAACTACAACTCCTCCTACTGCTACTTCCTGTTATCAACGTGTCTGCAGAGAAACACTTCAGATAGAACTACAACTCCTCCTACTGCTACTTCCTGTTATCAACGTGTCTGCAGAGAAACACTTCAGATAGAACTACAACTCCTCCTACTGCTACTTCCTGTTATCAACGTGTCTGCAGAGAAACACTTCAGATAGAACTACAACTCCTCCTACTGCTACTTCCTGTTATCACCGTGTCTGCAGAGTAGTAGTAGTAGCAAGTAGGATCATTTTCTCATAGACTTCTCTACAGTCTGAGGAGTCGCCCCCTGCTGTTTCAGGACAGTGCTTAGGGGTCAAAGGTCGTACCTGTGTGTCCTTGCAGCTTCTGAACGACCTCTTTGGTCTGCAGGTTCCAGATGTAAACCGAGCTGTCCTCTGATCCCGCAACGATCCACTGACACACAGAGGTCAAAGGTCATGAAGGTATGAACAGGTAGGTTCATAGTACATGTGTTATACCTGTGACTCCTGGCTTTTAGCGGGTATTTAAAAACACAAATGGCTGGAGTATTGGTGATTACACTTCATTCCTTCTACGTGAGTAACAACAGAGTATCTTCACAGGGTGGAGTTACACGGAGGGTTCAGACTGACGCCTCACCTTCCCTCCTGTGACGGAGAAGTTGGCGAAGATGCAGTATTTCTCGTTCTTGTGTCCGTTATATGTCTTCAGACACTGAAGCAGAGAGAGAGGGTTACTAAGAGAGAGAGAGGGTTACTACGAGAGAGAGAGAGGGTTAGTACGAGAGAGAGGGTTACTACGAGAGAAAGGGTTAGTACGAGAGAGAGGGTTAGTACGAGAGAGAGGGTTACTACGAGAGAGAGGGTTACTACGAGAGAGAGAGAGGGTTACTACGAGAGAAAGGGTTAGTACGAGAGAGAGGGTTAGTACGAGAGAGAGGGTTACTACGAGAGAGAGGGTTACTACGAGAGAGAGGGTTACTACGAGAGAGAGGGTTAGTACGAGAGAGAGGGTTAGTACGAGAGAGAGAGGGTTACTACGAGAGAGAGGGTTACTACGAGAGAGAGGGTTAGTACGAGAGAGAGGGTTAGTACGAGAGAGAGGGTTAGTACGAGAGAGAGGGTTAGTACGAGAGAGAGAGGGTTACTACGAGAGAGAGGGTTACTACGAGAGAGAGAGGGTTACTACGAGAGAGAGAGGGTTACTACGAGAGAGAGGGTTACTACGAGAGAGAGGGTTACTACGAGAGAGAGAGGGTTACTACGAGAGAGAGAGGGTTACTACGAGAGAGAGAGGGTTACTACGAGAGAGAGGGTTACTACGAGAGAGAGGGTTACTACGAGAGAGAGAGGGTTACTACGAGAGAGAGGGTTACTACGAGAGAGAGAGGGTTACTACGAGAGAGAGAGGGTTACTACGAGAGAGAGGGTTACTACGAGAGAGAGGGTTACTACGAGAGAGAGGGTTACTACAAGAGAGAGGGGGTTACTACGAGAGAGAGGGTTAGTACGAGAGAGAGGGTTATTACGAGAGAGAGAGGGTTACTACGAGAGAGAGAGGGTTACTACGAGAGAGAGAGGGTTACTACGAGAGAGAGAGGGTTACTACGAGAGAGAGAGGGTTACTACGAGAGAGAGGGTTACTACGAGAGAGAGGGTTACTACAAGAGAGAGGGGGTTACTACGAGAGAGGGGGTTACTACAAGAGAGAGGGGGTTACTACGAGAGAGAGGGTTATTACGAGAGAGAGGGTTAGTACGAGAGAGAGAGGGTTACTACGAGAGAGAGAGGGTTACTACGAGAGAGAGGGTTACTACGAGAGAGAGAGGGTTACTACGAGAGAGAGAGGGTTACTACGAGAGAGAGGGTTACTACGAGAGAGAGAGGGTTACTACGAGAGAGAGAGGGTTACTACGAGAGAGAGGGTTACTACGAGAGAGAGGGTTACTACGAGAGAGAGGGTTACTACAAGAGAGAGGGGGTTACTACGAGAGAGAGGGTTAGTACGAGAGAGAGGGTTATTACGAGAGAGAGAGGGTTACTACGAGAGAGAGAGAGGGTTACTACGAGAGAGAGAGGGTTACTACGAGAGAGAGAGGGTTACTACGAGAGAGAGAGGGTTACTACGAGAGAGAGGGTTACTACGAGAGAGAGGGTTACTACGAGAGAGAGGGTTACTACGAGAGAGAGAGGGTTACTACGAGAGAGAGGGTTATTACGAGAGAGAGGGTTAGTACGAGAGAGAGGGTTACTACGAGAGAGAGAGAGGGTTATTACGAGAGAGAGGGTTACTACGAGAGAGAGGGTTACTACGAGAGAGAGGGTTACTACGAGAGAGAGGGTTAGTACGAGAGAGAGGGTTAGTACGAGAGAGAGGGTTAGTACGAGAGAGAGGGTTACTACGAGAGAGAGGGTTACTACGAGAGAGAGGGTTAGTACGAGAGAGAGGGTTACTACGAGAGAGAGGGTTACTACGAGAGAGAGGGTTACTACGAGAGAGAGGGTTAGTACGAGAGAGAGGGTTACTACGAGAGAGAGAGAGGGTTATTACGAGAGAGAGGGTTATTACGAGAGAGAGGGTTACTACGAGAGAGAGGGTTACTACGAGAGAGAGGGAGGGTTACTACGAGAGAGAGGGTTACTACGAGAGAGAGAGAGGGTTATTACGAGAGAGAGGGTTAGTACGAGAGAGAGGGTTACTACGAGAGAGAGGGTTACTACGAGAGAGAGGGAGGGTTATTACGAGAGAGAGGGTTATTACGAGAGAAAGGGTTAGTACGAGAGAGAGGGTTACTACGAGAGAGAGAGAGGGTTATTACGAGAGAGAGGGTTAGTACGAGAGAGAGGGTTAGTACGAGAGAGAGGGTTAGTACGAGAGAGAGGGTTAGTACGAGAGAGAGGGTTACTACGAGAGAGAGGGTTACTACGAGAGAGAGGGAGGGTTATTACGAGAGAGAGGGTTATTACGAGAGAGAGGGTTAGTACGAGAGAGAGGGTTACTACGAGAGAGAGAGAGGGTTATTACGAGAGAGAGGGTTATTACGAGAGAGGGTTACTACGAGAGAGAGGGTTAGTACGAGAGAGAGGGTTAGTACGAGAGAGAGGGTTACTACGAGAGAGAGGGTTACTACGAGAGAGAGGGAGGGTTATTACGAGAGAGAGGGTTACTACGAGAGAGAGGGTTACTACGAGAGAGAGGGTTACTACGAGAGAGAGGGAGGGTTATTACGAGAGAGAGGGTTAGTACGAGAGAGAGGGTTACTACGAGAGAGAGAGAGGGTTATTACGAGAGAGAGGGTTAGTACGAGAGAGAGGGTTACTACGAGAGAGAGAGAGGGTTACTACGAGAGAGAGGGTTACTACGAGAGAGGGTTACTACGAGAGAGAGGGTTACTACGAGAGAGAGGGTTACTACGAGAGAGAGAGGGTTAGTACGAGAGAGAGAGGGTTACTACGAGAGAGAGGGTTACTACGAGAGAGAGGGTTACTACGAGAGAGGGAGAGAGGGTTAGTACGAGAGAGAGGGTTAGTACGAGAGAGAGGGTTACTACGAGAGAGAGGGTTACTACGAGAGAGAGGGTTACTACGAGAGAGAGAGAGAGGGTTAGTACGAGAGAGAGGGTTAGTACGAGAGAGAGGGTTACTACGAGAGAGAGGGTTACTACGAGAGAGAGGGTTACTACGAGAGAGAGGGTTACTACGAGAGAGAGGGTTACTACTATGAGAGAGAGGGTTACTACGAGAGAGAGGGTTACTACGAGAGAGGGGGTTAGTACGAGAGAGAGGGTTACTACGAGAGAGGGTTAGTACGAGAGAGGGTTACTACGAGAGAGAGGGTTACTACGAGAGAGGGGGTTAGTACGAGAGAGAGGGTTACTACGAGAGAGGGTTAGTACGAGAGAGGGTTACTACGAGAGAGAGGGTTACTACGAGAGAGGGGGTTAGTACGAGAGAGAGGGTTACTACGAGAGAGGGTTAGTACGAGAGAGGGTTACTACGAGAGAGGGTTACTACGAGAGAGAGGGTTACTACGAGAGAGAGGGTTACACATGATCTCTCTCTCTCTCTCTCTCTCTCTCTCTCTCTCTCTCTCTCTCTCTCTCTCATTATCTCTCACTCTCTCTCTCTCTCCCTCTCACACATTATCTCTCGCTCTCTCTCTCTCATTATCTCTCACTCTCTCTCTCTCTCCCTCTCACACATTATCTCTCTCTCTCTCTCTCTCATTATCTCTCACTCTCTCTCTCTGTCTCCCTCTCACACACTATCACTCAGAGGAGTCAGTACCTTTCCTTTGCTGTAGTCCCAGAGCTTTAATGTGCTGTGAACAGGAGGAAACAGAGTCAGAGCTAGATTGAGAAAGTTAAATGTAAACAAGGCTAATGTGAAGCTAGCTTGAAGCTAGTGCTAAAGTGACTCTGTTGATGAAGAGCAACAGAGTGACTTCCTGTTGATGAAGAGCAACAGAGTGACTTCCTGTTGAGGCACTCACTTGTCCAGAGTCGCAGCCAGGATGTATTTTCCATTTGGAGAAAACTTAACAAAAGACACCGGGGGATTGTCGTCATCTAAGAAGAGACAAAGATACATGTTATTTATCAAGAAGAAAATGAATTATTAGATATTATTGGTACCTTCAGTGTTTTACTGCACATCTGTTATTCTTTAGGTCGAGTACTTTTTAAATGCGTTCTCAATGTTTATTTTATGTGATATTCACTAGTTTTATACCACAAAGAAACCCCAGAGAGCGCCGGATCTACGTACCGATGATACACACCATGTTACGTACCGGTCTAACGTACCGATGACACACACCATGTTACGTACCGGTCTAACGTACCGATGATACACACCATGTTACGTACCGGTCTAACGTACCGATGACACACACCATGTTACGTACCGGTCTAACGTACCGATGACACACACCATGTTACGTACCGGTCTAAGGTACCGATGACACACACCATGTTACGTACCGGTCTAACGTACCGATGACACACACCATGTTACGTACCGATGATACGTACCGATGATACACACCATGTTACGTACCGGTCTAACGTACCGATGATACACACCATGTTACGTACCGGTCTAACGTACCGATGACACACACCATGTTACGTACCGGTCTAACGTACCGATGACACACACCATGTTACGTACCGGTCTAACGTACCGATGACACACACCATGTTACGTACCGGTCTAACGTACCGATGACACACACCATGTTACGTACCGGTCTAACGTACCGATGATACACACCATGTTACGTACCGGTCTAACGTACCGATGATACACACCATGTTACGTACCGATGATACACACCATGTTACGTACCGGTCTAACGTACCGATGATACACACCATGTTACGTACCGGTCTAACGTACCGATGATACACACCATGTTACGTACCGATGACACACACCATGTTACGTACCGGTCTAACGTACCGATGACACACACCATGTTAAGTACCGGTCTAACGTACCGATGACACACACCATGTTACGTACCGGTCTAACGTACCGATGATACACACCATGTTACGTACCGGTCTAACGTACCGATGATACACACCATGTTACGTACCGATGATACACACCATGTTACGTACCGGTCTAACGTACCAATGATACACACCATGTTACGTACCGGTCTAACGTACCGATGATACACACCATGTTACGTACCGGTCTAACGTACCAATGATACACACCATGTTACGTACCGGTCTAACGTACCGATGATACACACCATGTTACGTACCGGTCTAACGTACCGATGACACACACCATGTTACGTACCGGTCTAACGTACCAATGATACACACCATGTTGATGTTATGTACCGATGTCATGTACCGATGTCATGTACCAGTGTTACATCCTGGTGTAACGTACCGATGTTATCTAGCGATTTTATGTAGCGATGTTATGTAGCGATGTTATGTAGCGATGTTATGTACTGATGTTACATCCTGGTGTAACGTACCGATGTTATGTACCAATGTTATGTAGCGATGTTATGTAGCGATGTTATGTAGCGATGTTATGTACCGATGTTATGTACCGATGTTATGTACCGATGTTATGTAGCGATTTTATGTAGCGATGTTATGTACTGATGTTATGTACCGATGTTATGTACCAGTGTTACATCCTGGTGTAACGTACCGGTGTAACGTACCGGTGTAACGTACCGATGTAACGTACCGATGTTATGTACCGATGTTATGTACCAGTGTTACATCCTGGTGTAACGTACCGATGTTATGTACCAGTGTTACATCCTGGTGTAACGTACCGATGTTATGTACCGATGTTATGTACCGATGTTACAGTAAGAACAGGTTCTGTTATGTGAGGAGGACTCACCGATCAGGGTCTTCAGACACTGTCCGGACGCCGTGTCCCAGATGCGACTGCAGACAGACAACAGCTTCAGTCTCTGTGTTATACCTACATGTATAATGTATAGTGTATTATATGCAAAGTATTCTGTACCAGAGGCCGTCGTAGCTGCTGGAGACGATGAGCGAGCCGTCTCTGTTGAAGTGAACCTGGAAACAGAGTCAGGGTCAGAGATCAGGGTCAGAGCTTAGGACACTACAACGACCTCTTGTTTGTAAGAGAAACGACTCACAGCAGAGACGGGGTCGGAGTGAGCCGGCAGAGTCTTCAGACATTTCCCCGTCTTCACGTCCCAGATGCGAACGCTCTCATCAAACTGCAGACACACACAAAGACTGTTAGGATAAGATAAGATGTGCCAGAGTTACACAGATACAATAAACACAGCAGCATAATAATAAGACTGTACACTAACAGTGCAGTAAAAAGAGCAATTCAATATCTACAGGAAACATAGACGGTCACATAGTTAATGTAAAATACTGTACAGTGACGAGCAGTATTTAGTAGTGCAAAAAAACGTAGTGGCAGATACTGAACTGCACGTAAAGCAACTCCAGGAGGCAATCCTTTAAACGGTATATTATGTATTTTAGAAGCTTTAATAGAATATGCAGGTGATTCATGGAGTTATCAGTGTGTGTGTGTGTGTGTGTGTGTGTGTGTGTGTGTGTGTGTGTGTGTGTGTGTGTGTGTGTGTGTGTGTGTGTGTGTGTGTGTGTGTGTGTGTGTGTGTGTGTGTGTGTGTGTGTGGCGCACCGATCCAGACACCACCAGGTTGGACTGAGGGTTGAAGTTGCAGCAGAAGACGTAGTTACTGTGGCCCTTCAGGGTCTTCAGACACTTCCCCTGAACACACAGGACGCACGTTAGAACACACACATTAAGTATCAGGTTAATGATCCATCCCTGTTCAATACTGTGGAGATGTTAAGCTAGTAAGCTGTGTGTGTGTGTGTGTGTGTCTTACAGAGCTGTGGTCCCAGATCTTGAGTGTTTTGTCGTCGGACGCAGAAACCAGCAGGGTGGAGTCTGAAGACCAGGAGACATCGGAGATCCCCTAAAAACACACACACACACACACACACACACACACACACACACACACACACACACACACACACACACACACACACACACACACACACACACACACACACACACACACACACACACACACACACACACACACACACACACACACACACACACACACACACACACACACACACACACACACACACACACACACTCTGTAAACAGTGTGTGTGTTGTGGTTCAGAGGTCTTCAGGAGGCGGTGCTCACCAGTTTGTGTCCGACGATGGATTTCTCAAACTTTCCGTCGAACGCTCCCCAAATCTTTATCAGTTTATCGGCCGCTGCACCGAGAGGATAAAGAACACAATAAACCGTGTTTAATTTCGTCTTAATGTACATTATTTAATTTCATATTCTGTTCTTGTACATATCATATTCTATTTACATGGATATAGACTTCTTGCACTATTTCTTAAGCTGCTGAGCATCTGATGAGAACACCTTGAATTCATGTGTCCAAACGTGTGTGAGTGTGAGTGTGAGTGTGAGTGTGTGTGTGAGTGTGTGTGAGAGTGTGAGTGTGTGTGTGTGTGTGTGTGTGTGTGTGTGTGTGTGTGTGTGTGTGTGTGTGTGCTCACAGGAGCTGGCCAGCCACTCTCCGTTGGGGCTGAATTTGACGGAGGAGACGGCCTTGGTGTGTCCGGCCAGAGTAAACTTCACGGTGTAGTTCGGTTTGGCCGCGTTAGACTGTGCACACACACACACACACACACCACACCACACACACACACACACACAGTTACTGCTTGTTCAATGACTGTCAACAATAATATAGTGATGCAGGCTCCTCACCTTGCTGCTGGAGGACTGCTTTAAGGTGTCTGTCTCTGGTTTCTTCTCCTCTGTCGCCATGTCTGAGTCCAGCAGCTCCTTCTCCCTGCAGCTCCTTCTCCCTGCAGCTCCTTCCTCCTGCAGCTGTTTAACCAGCACACAAAACACTGTTCAGATCTCCTGCAATAAACCTGAATCTGCGATAAACACCTGGCGCTATAATCAAATACAGCTTTTCATCAATGTCCTAAAACTTATTTTGAGGTCGCAATACTTTAATATGCATTTCATGTCACTTAGTTGTACTTAAATTGATGTTACACATTTTGTTTAGCCAAGGTTGTGTAATTATTTGTCTTTATTTTATTACTAATGTCTGCTTTTCTGTTATTAGCTGTTATTATATGTTAGCTTCTGTTAGCTCTGTTATTATCTGTTAGCTTCTGTTAGCTCTGTTATTATATGTTAGCTTCTGTTAGCTCTGTTATTATCTGTTAGCTTCTGTTAGCTCTGTTATTATATGTTAGCTTCTGTTAGCTCTGTTATTATCTGTTAGCTTCTGTTAGCTCTGTTATTATATGTTAGCTTCTGTTAGCTCTGTTATTATCTGTTAGCTTCTGTTAGCTCTGTTATTGTATGTTAGCTTCTGTTAGCTCTGTTATTATATGTTAGCTTCTGTTAGCTCTGTTATTATCTGTTAGCTTCTGTTAGCTCTGTTATTATCTGTTAGCTTCTGTTAGCTCTGTTATTATCTGTTAGCTTCTGTTAGCTCTGTTATTATATGTTAGCTTCTGTTAGCTCTGTTATTATCTGTTAGCTTCTGTTAGCTCTGTTATTATATGTTAGCTTCTGTTAGCTCTGTTATTATCTGTTAGCTTCTGTTAGCTCTGTTATTATATGTTAGCTTCTGTTAGCTCTGTTATTATATGTTAGCTTCTGTTAGCTCTGTTATTATCTGTTAGCTTCTGTTAGCTCTGTTATTATATGTTAGCTCTGTTAGCTCTGTTATTATCTGTTAGCTCTGTTATTATCTCTTAGCTCTGTTATTATCTGTTAGCTCTGTTATTATCTGTTAGCTCTGTTATTATCTGTTAGCTCTGTTATTGTCTGTTAGCTTCTTTTAGCTTCTGTTTTGGCTCTGCTGCTGAAGGAGGGCTAGAGCTAGCTGCAGATGCTAACAACGCTAACTATAGTTATCTCTATAAAGCCGTGTTACCTTTCCCGCTCTCGGTACACAGGGACCGGGTTCTGACCGGGTTCTGACCGGGTTCTGACGGGTTCGGACCGGGTTCTGACAGTTAGCCAGAAGCTGACTGCTAACTACACAAGAGTGCTGTCATACGGCGAGTGAAGAGGGTCAAAATAAAAATAAAGGAAACTGTAGACTGAGGGTCCATTCTGTTTTTATTATTTATAAAAGGAAGAATAATTGTTTTGCTGATCCTCTTCGGGAATGTATTCAATTAGTTCATTTTAAAAACGTTTGTCCCCCGAAACTGAACAATAACTGCTCTTCCAGCACAGCAGGGGGCGCAGGAGCAGCAGATCAGCACCGCCTTTAAACCAGGAGGACAAGAAGAAGAAGAAGTCCGTGACCTCATCAAGGTGCTTCTCCTGCAGCACTATCATAATAATAATACATTACATTTATATAGCGCTTTTCCTGGTGCTCAAAGATGAGGCGCTGGGTCCGGACCGGGGCCGCTCTGGTGCTGGGAGCGGGTCTGGGAGTCTGGGTCGGCCGCGCGACGAGCCTCAGCCCCGGGGAGGAGCAGCGGGGGGTCGGGGGGCTGCTGGAGAGGGTCCCTGTGATCCCGGTGATCCCGTGGGTGGAGGCCTCCGAGCTCACGGTGAGAGTACTGTACTGTATTTATAGAGACTACTGTACTGTACTGAGACTGTACAGAGACTGTACTGAGACTGTACTGTACAGAGACTGTACTAAAGTACTATTTATAGAGACTACTGTACTGTACTGAGACTGTACTGAGACTGTACTTAAGTACTATTTATAGAGACTTTACTCCACTACAGTTCAGAGGTACATGGTGCACTTTTACTCCACGACATGTATTTAATCCCTTCAGTTACTCCACAGACTTTAGTTCCACCTGGAGTAAATCCACAAGCTACCCTGCAGTATACAAAGTCATTCAAACTAGCTGCACCTTTACCAGCTTTGAGAACACTTTCATGATCAATCATTATAAAACATATCATATATATTATTCTGAAATGAACCAATCTGCACAACGACTACTTTTACTGTCGCTACTTTCACTATATTTTGATGATAATACTTAGTTTTATACTTATCACCTAAGTGTAAACACGTCTCAATCAGTCACTGAACACCTGAGCACATACTGCAGATTAAAAAAGAGAAATACAATCTGAGCTCTGTTTTTCTTAAAGGTCCCATGTCTTTTCTACTGATCATAGTTCCATAGTTGAGGTCTACTAGAATAGATGTACATTGTTCAATGTTCCAAACTCACATTGGTTTCTCAAACAGCATCTCTGTATAGTCTGTGTATTCACTCTCTGTCCTACACGGCTTGTTGGAGCTCCTGCCCCCCCCCTCCCTGTGAGCCCACTGTGCTCTGATTGGTCAGCTCGTCCACTCTGTTCTGATGAGATCACCACCGTTACAGCAGAACATCAGTGATTATGTTTTACAATGGCGTTAGTTAGCAACCAGAAAATGACACCAGTAAGGACAAACAGATGAGAATGCTGCGTGGGGTCTGGGGGCCGTGTTGGGGGGACGTTGGGGGGCTCGCTGCTGTGAGGAGAGGACAGTGTGAGCTGGGTTACTGGTGTCGTTTCCTGGTTGCTGCGAGGGGTCTGTGAGACAGTGAGACATCGCGGAGCTCAGCCTGAACTCAGCCTGAGCTCACACACACACACACACACACACACACACACACACACACACACTCGTAGCCTGGCTGTGTGTGTGTGTGTGTGTGTGTGTGTGTGTGTGTGTGTGTGTGTGTGTGTGTGTGTGTGTGTGTGTGTGTGTGTGTGTGTGTGTGTGTGTGTGTGTGTGTGTGTGTGTGTGTGTGTGTGTGTGTGTGTGTGTGTGTGTGTGTGTGTGTGTGTGTGTGTGTGTGTGTGTGTGTGTGTGTGTGTGTGTGTGTGTGTGTGTGTGTGTGTGTGTGTGTGTGTGTGTGTGTGTGTGTGTGTGTGTGTGTGTGTGTGTGTGTGTGTGTGTGTGTGTTTGTGCGTGTGCGTGTGCTCAGGCTGAGTTCAGGCTGAGAAATCCGCGGAGTAGCGCGGCTGAGAAAAGATAAGGCTGAGTGAGTGTGTGTGTGTGCGGAGCTCCACGGATTGGTCCATTTGGGCATGGTCACGTCACTATACCCAAGAAGTAAAAAATGGAAAAAGAGAGATGTCCAGCGAGGCGTTCTGGGGCAGCACAGAGAGGTCTGCTCTGTGTTAGAGCTTTACTCTCTACAGGGTGCACTCTGAGGGTTTGTGACTCTGCAGACCGTTCACATGCAGAAGCTACAGAACACAAGGGGACGGGTCAGAACCAGAGAAGCATGACATGGGACCTTTAAGACACACAGTGAAGATCACACACACTGTATAATGAACATATACTGTGTATTTATATACTGTGTGTGTATATATATATATATGACCTCATCGTCCTGACTCCTCCCCTCAGGTGAGTCCAGGTGTGTCGGGGGGGGGCGGCAGTGATGAAGTACGGCTTCCCCTCGTTAGCAAACATCAAGACGCGAGAGTCCTACGTGACCTCGTACGACCCCCGCACACGCACTGCATCCTGGGTAATCGAGAGGCTGAGCCCCGCCTCCCTGAGCGGCCAATCAGACAGGAAGAGCTGCGACTTCATGGAGGACGACAGGTGAGTCACCTGGACATTATTTACCTTTAGATCATGTATACTTTAGTGTTATTAAACCCCCCCCCCCAGTGTGAACGTGCTCCACAGGTCCACCAACACTGACTACAGGGGGAGTGGCTTCGACAGAGGTCACATGGCTGCAGCAGCCAATCACAAGTGGAGCCAGAAGGCCATGCAGGACACCTTCTACCTGAGCAACGTGGCCCCACAGGTACACACACACACACACACACACACATGATACCCACACAGATATATTGATATGTGTGTGTGTGTGTGTGTGTGTGTGTGTGTGTGTGTGTGTGTGTGTGTGTGTGTGTGTGTGTGTGTGTGTGTGTGTGTGTGTGTGTGTGTGTGTGTGTGTGTGTGTGTGTGTGTGTGTGTGTGTGTGTGTGTGTGTGTGTGTGTGTGTGTGTGTGTGTGTGTGTGTGTGTGTGTGTGTGTGTGTGTGTGTGTGTGTGTGTGTGTGTGTGTGTGTGTGTGTGTGTGTGTGTGTGTGTGTGTGTGTGTGTGTGTGTGTGTGTGTGTGTGTGTGTGTGTGTGTGTGTGTGTGTGTGTGTGTGTGTGTGTGTGTGTGTGTGTGTGTGTGTTTTCAGAATCCTCAATTGAACCGGTACACCTGGAATAACCTGGAGAAACACTGCCGCTCTCTGACCAAAAACTACCTGGATGTCTACGTGTGCACCGGCCCCCTCTACCTGCCCAGGTAACACACACACACACACACACACACACACACACACACGTTCTATAGGGACAAGACAAGATAATAACTAGTTCTATAGAGACAAGATAATAACTAGTTCTATAGAGACTAGATAATAACTAGTTCTATAGAGACAAGACAAGATAATAACTGTAGGTATTAATACGATAATGACCGGAGGCCAATCGATCGGAGCATCCCTAATTATTACCGGACATTTTGACCGGCAGGTTTTGAATTTACCGGTTTTTAATAAATGTTACCAGCTAAAAACCGGTAATTACCGGCTGACGGAAACCCTGGGACAAGGATAAAATCACACATACCTGCGACTCACCATCCAGTACAACGTTTGGTATTCCATGTAAAGATTGTGACTGCTGACCACCAATGATATCAAGTACCACATCTGTGTATTGTCCCCTTTTATACGCTTTGTTACCCGTCTGTGGGTATTTAGCCTGGCTGTGGTCTTTGGTAGCTTGCTGCTTCAGATTCTTCCACCTCAACCTCACTTGGTCCACCGTCCTCTTGTGTCCAGGTCACATTGTCTGTGACCTCCGTCCATATTCCGCTCTTTACTTTAGTCGCTCCACCCTCTCTGTTAAAGCTACCAGCTATGCAGTCAGAATGATTCCTTACACCCTGCAGCAGTGCGTGGGTCTCAGCAGTGCGTGGGTCTCAGCAGTGCGTGGGTCTCAGCAGTGCGTGGGTCTCAGCAGTGCGTGGGTCTCAGCAGTGCGTGGGTCTCAGCAGTGCGTGGGTCTCAGCAGTGCGTGGGTCTCAGCAGTGCGTGGGTCTCAGCAGTGCGTGGGTCTCAGCAGTGCGTGGGTCTCAGCAGTGCGTGGGTCTCAGCAGATGTACAATTAGGCCCCTTTTTGTCCATCTGTCCAACTCACTGGTTCGGTCAGGTTATTTTGGAAAGGTGATGACAGATGATGGACTTTTCTTTTGTTGAAGATATGTTTTCTTTAATCTAAATTACATTTGTGATTGGCAATCTTTGTTGTGATATTTTTATGAGCATAAACATTTATGTCATCAACATTTGGTTGAAAACTAAATAGGCCACCTCAAACGTGACCGAAAAATAAAATGTATTTGCCATGAAGGCTAAACATGGTGTATTATTTCAGTTAACAGACTTTGCCGTGTGTGTGTGTGTGTGTGTGTGTGTGTGTGTGTGTGTGTGTGTGTGTGTGTGTGTGTGTGTGTGTGTGTGTGTGTGTGTGTGTGTGTGTGTGTGTGTGTGTGTGTGTGTGTGTGTGTGTGTGTGTGTGTGTGTGTGTGTGTGTGTGTGTGTGTGTGTGTGTGTGTGTGTGTGTGTGTGTGTGTGTGTGTGTGTGTGTGTGTGTGTGTGTGTGTGTGTGTGTGTGTGTGTGTGTGTGTGTGTGTGTGTGTGTGTGTGTGTGTGTGTGTGTGTGTGTGTGTGTGTGTGTGTGTGTGTGTGTGTGTGTGTGTGTGTGTGTGTGTGTGTGTGTGTGTGTGTGTGTAGACAGGAGGCTGATGGAAAGCTGTACGTACGATATCAGGTTTTGGGGCATAACCACGTTGCCGTGCCGACGCACTTCTTCAAGGTGAGTGACAGGTTAATAACAAACACAAATATAAAATGTTTTTTATACATAGACGACACTGGGACATGTCTCCATGTAGTGTCTCTACTGGGACATGTCTCCATGTAGTGTCTCTACTGGGACATGTCTCTATGTAGTGTCTCTACTGGGACATGTCTCCATGTAGTGTCTCTCCTGGGACATGTCTCTATGTAGTGTCTCTCCTGGGACATGTCTCCATGTAGTGTCTCTACTGGGACATGTCTCTATGTAGTGTCTCTCCTGGGACATGTCTCTATGTAGTGTCTCTACTGGGACATGTCTCCATGTAGTGTCTCTACTGGGACATGTCTCTATGTAGTGTCTCTCCTGGGACATGTCTCTATGTAGTGTCTCTACTGGGACATGTCTCCATGTAGTGTCTCTACTGGGACATGTCTCTATGTAGTGTCTCTACTGGGACATGTCTCCATGTAGTGTCTCTCCTGGGACATGTCTCCATGTAGTGTCTCTACTGGGACATGTCTCCATGTAGTGTCTCTACTGGGACATGTCTCTATGTAGTGTCTCTCCTGGGACATGTCTCTATGTAGTGTCTCTACTGGGACATGTCTCTATGTAGTGTCTCTACTGGGACATGTCTCCATGTAGTGTCTCTACTGGGACATGTCTCTATGTAGTGTCTCTACTGGGACATGTCTCTATGTAGTGTCTCTACTGGGACATGTCTCTATGTAGTGTCTCTACTGGGACATGTCTCTATGTAGTGTCTCTACTGGGACATGTCTCCATGTAGTGTCTCTACTGGGACATGTCTCCATGTAGTGTCTCTACTGGGACATGTCTCCATGTAGTGTCTCTACTGGGACATGTCTCTATGTAGTGTCTCTACTGGGACATGTCTCTATGTAGTGTCTCTACTGGGACATGTCTCTATGTAGTGTCTCTACTGGGACATGTCTCTATGTAGTGTCTCTACTGGGACATGTCTCTATGTAGTGTCTCTACTGGGACATGTCTCTATGTAGTGTCTCTACTGGGACATGTCTCTATGTAGTGTCTCTACTGGGACATGTCTCTATGTAGTGTCTCTACTGGGACATGTCTCCATGCTCTAATGTTCAGAAAGCTCTTTATTGTCCTCATACTGCCTGTGCTGCAGCACCTCTTTTCACCCTCTGTCTGAAACCAGAGCCCAGTCTGCTCTGATTGGTTAGCTGGCTGGCTCTGTTGTGATTGGTCAAACAGCTTAAAGATGTCCCGCCCCTTTATCCTATCACGTACAATGTGTTGGAGCGCTAGCCAATAGGAGCAAGAGTGCTCCATACTGATGTCACCATGTTCCAGAAGTGAAACTAGCTGACAGCTGATTGGTTCCCTCAGGTGCTGATCCTGGAGCAGATGGATGGCAGGGGGGTGGAGCTTCGGTCGTACGTCTTACCGAACGAACCAATCGAGGAGAAGGTCCCTCTGGAGCGCTTCCTGGTTCCCATAGAAACCATCGAGAGGGCGGCGGGGCTGCAGTTCATCCCGAACATCATGAAGAGAACGAGCCGTCTGCAGAGCATCACTGCACGATAACACCCACAATGCACTGCAGGAGGAACGCCCACAATGCACTGCAGGATTAACGCCCACAATGCACTGCAGGATGAACACCCACAATGCACTGCAGGATGAACACCCACAATGCACTGCAGGATGAACGCCCACAATGCACTGCAGGCTTACCTGTCGCCTCATGGCTGAACAATAATCTGAGTTTATGTGTTAAGTGTTTCTGTAAATAAATCAACTGTAATTATCTCCACATGTTGTCTGCGCTTCATCTCCACTCAGGAACATCGGATCAATATATCTTTTATTTAACGGGATTAAAAGGGGAGACATATTACCGTCTGCATTATTCATCTTTATTCTAAATGTTAAACACACCTGTCATGCTCTGCCACTAGGGGGCTCTAAGTGAACGCAACAGTAAGGCTTTAGTGGGTGTGTTGGTTTTAGAGTGTTGCATCATGGGAGTTGTAGTCTTCTCTGATGTATATAAGAGGGGGAGAAGGAGACTCTAAAAACCTCCTGAACCACTGAAAGAGTCCTGACCACGAGAAGAGCACGTTTAAATCACTTTATACGACATCGACTATACGCTCAATCCAGATTATCCTGGGCACAGGTTCAAACCCCACTGCAGTCAGCATGTCGTTGTGTCCCTGAGACACTTCACCCCAAAGTGCTCCTGAGGGGATTGTCCACAGTATTGAGTATGTTAGTCGCTTTGGATAAAAGCGTCTAACAAGTAACATGTGATCAGGGTTGGGTTGTAACGGAATACATGTAACGGCGTTACGTCATCAGAATACAAAAATCAAGTAACTGTATTCAGCTCGCATTACATTTGAAAACCGAGTAATCTGATTACAGTTACTTTCGTAAACCTGAAGTGAATACATTTTGGATTACTTATTGGAATTATTGGTGGAAAGATTTCCTCACAACATTTAATATTCATTACTAAAGGTACAGCCGAATCATCACAGCGCACAAAACCTATTACCGCCGTGTGTGTGTGTGTGTGTGTGTGTGTGTGTGTGTGTGTGTGTGTGTGTGTGTGTGTGTGTGTGTGTGTGTGTGTGTGTGTGTGTGTGTGTGTGTGTGTGTGTGTGTGTGTGTGTGTGTGTGTGTGTGTGTGTGTGTGTGTGTGTGTGTAGACAGGAGGCTGATGGAAAGCTGTACGTACGATATCAGGTTTTGGGGCATAACCACGTTGCCGTGCCGACGCACTTCTTCAAGGTGAGTGACAGGTTAATAACAAACACAAATATAAAATGTTTTTTATACATAGACGACACTGGGACATGTCTCCATGTAGTGTCTCTCCTGGGACATGTCTCCATGTAGTGTCTCTCCTGGGACATGTCTCCATGTAGTGTCTCTACTGGGACATGTCTCTATGTAGTGTCTCTACTGGGACATGTCTCCATGTAGTGTCTCTACTGGGACATGTCTCTATGTAGTGTCTCTCCTGGGACATGTCTCCATGTAGTGTCTCTACTGGGACATGTCTCCATGTAGTGTCTCTACTGGGACATGTCTCTATGTAGTGTCTCTACTGGGACATGTCTCTATGTAGTGTCTCTACTGGGACATGTCTCCATGTAGTGTCTCTCCTGGGACATGTCTCCATGTAGTGTCTCTACTGGGACATGTCTCCATGTAGTGTCTCTACTGGGACATGTCTCTATGTAGTGTCTCTACTGGGACATGTCTCTATGTAGTGTCTCTACTGGGACATGTCTCCATGTAGTGTCTCTCCTGGGACATGTCTCCATGTAGTGTCTCTCCTGGGACATGTCTCCATGTAGTGTCTCTACTGGGACATGTCTCCATGTAGTGTCTCTACTGGGACATGTCTCTATGTAGTGTCTCTACTGGGACATGTCTCTATGTAGTGTCTCTACTGGGACATGTCTCCATGTAGTGTCTCTCCTGGGACATGTCTCCATGTAGTGTCTCTACTGGGACATGTCTCCATGTAGTGTCTCTCCTGGGACATGTCTCCATGTAGTGTCTCTCCTGGGACATGTCTCTATGTAGTGTCTCTACTGGGACATGTCTCCATGTAGTGTCTCTACTGGGACATGTCTCTATGTAGTGTCTCTCCTGGGACATGTCTCTATGTAGTGTCTCTACTGGGACATGTCTCTATGTAGTGTCTCTACTGGGACATGTCTCTATGTAGTGTCTCTACTGGGACATGTCTCTATGTAGTGTCTCTACTGGGACATGTCTCCATGTAGTGTCTCTCCTGGGACATGTCTCCATGTAGTGTCTCTCCTGGGACATGTCTCCATGTAGAGTCTCTCCTGGGACATGTCTCCATGTAGTGTCTCTACTGGGACATGTCTCTATGTAGTGTCTCTACTGGGACATGTCTCTATGTAGTGTCTCTACTGGGACATGTCTCTATGTAGTGTCTCTACTGGGACATGTCTCTATGTAGTGTCTCTACTGGGACATGTCTCTATGTAGTGTCTCTACTGGGACATGTCTCCATGTAGTGTCTCTACTGGGACATGTCTCTATGTAGTGTCTCTACTGGGACATGTCTCCATGTAGTGTCTCTCCTGGGACATGTCTCCATGTAGTGTCTCTACTGGGACATGTCTCCATGTAGTGTCTCTACTGGGACATGTCTCTATGTAGTGTCTCTCCTGGGACATGTCTCTATGTAGTGTCTCTACTGGGACATGTCTCTATGTAGTGTCTCTACTGGGACATGTCTCCATGTAGTGTCTCTACTGGGACATGTCTCTATGTAGTGTCTCTACTGGGACATGTCTCTATGTAGTGTCTCTACTGGGACATGTCTCTATGTAGTGTCTCTACTGGGACATGTCTCTATGTAGTGTCTCTACTGGGACATGTCTCCATGTAGTGTCTCTACTGGGACATGTCTCTATGTAGTGTCTCTACTGGGACATGTCTCTATGTAGTGTCTCTACTGGGACATGTCTCTATGTAGTGTCTCTACTGGGACATGTCTCTATGTAGTGTCTCTACTGGGACATGTCTCTATGTAGTGTCTCTACTGGGACATGTCTCCATGTAGTGTCTCTACTGGGACATGTCTCTATGTAGTGTCTCTACTGGGACATGTCTCTATGTAGTGTCTCTACTGGGACATGTCTCTATGTAGTGTCTCTACTGGGACATGTCTCTATGTAGTGTCTCTACTGGGACATGTCTCCATGCTCTAATGTTCAGAAAGCTCTTTATTGTCCTCATACTGCCTGTGCTGCAGCACCTCTTTTCACCCTCTGTCTGAAACCAGAGCCCAGTCTGCTCTGATTGGTTAGCTGGCTGGCTCTGTTGTGATTGGTCAAACAGCTTAAAGATGTCCCGCCCCTTTATCCTATCACGTACAATGTGTTGGAGCGCTAGCCAATAGGAGCAAGAGTGCTCCATACTGATGTCACCATGTTCCAGAAGTGAAACTAGCTGACAGCTGATTGGTTCCCTCAGGTGCTGATCCTGGAGCAGATGGATGGCAGGGGGGTGGAGCTTCGGTCGTACGTCTTACCGAACGAACCAATCGAGGAGAAGGTCCCTCTGGAGCGCTTCCTGGTTCCCATAGAAACCATCGAGAGGGCGGCGGGGCTGCAGTTCATCCCGAACATCATGAAGAGAACGAGCCGTCTGCAGAGCATCACTGCACGATAACACCCACAATGCACTGCAGGAGGAACGCCCACAATGCACTGCAGGATTAACGCCCACAATGCACTGCAGGATGAACACCCACAATGCACTGCAGGATGAACACCCACAATGCACTGCAGGATGAACGCCCACAATGCACTGCAGGCTTACCTGTCGCCTCATGGCTGAACAATAATCTGAGTTTATGTGTTAAGTGTTTCTGTAAATAAATCAACTGTAATTATCTCCACATGTTGTCTGCGCTTCATCTCCACTCAGGAACATCGGATCAATATATCTTTTATTTAACGGGATTAAAAGGGGAGACATATTACCGTCTGCATTATTCATCTTTATTCTAAATGTTAAACACACCTGTCATGCTCTGCCACTAGGGGGCTCTAAGTGAACGCAACAGTAAGGCTTTAGTGGGTGTGTTGGTTTTAGAGTGTTGCATCATGGGAGTTGTAGTCTTCTCTGATGTATATAAGAGGGGGAGAAGGAGACTCTAAAAACCTCCTGAACCACTGAAAGAGTCCTGACCACGAGAAGAGCACGTTTAAATCACTTTATACGACATCGACTATACGCTCAATCCAGATTATCCTGGGCACAGGTTCAAACCCCACTGCAGTCAGCATGTCGTTGTGTCCCTGAGACACTTCACCCCAAAGTGCTCCTGAGGGGATTGTCCACAGTATTGAGTATGTTAGTCGCTTTGGATAAAAGCGTCTAACAAGTAACATGTGATCAGGGTTGGGTTGTAACGGAATACATGTAACGGCGTTACGTCATCAGAATACAAAAATCAAGTAACTGTATTCAGCTCGCATTACATTTGAAAACCGAGTAATCTGATTACAGTTACTTTCGTAAACCTGAAGTGAATACATTTTGGATTACTTATTGGAATTATTGGTGGAAAGATTTCCTCACAACATTTAATATTCATTACTAAAGGTACAGCCGAATCATCACAGCGCACAAAACCTATTACCGCCGTGTGTGTGTGTGTGTGTGTGTGTGTGTGTGTGTGTGTGTGTGTGTGTGTGTGTGTGTGTGTGTGTGTGTGTGTGTGTGTGTGTGTGTGTGTGTGTGTGTGTGTGTGTGTGTGTAGACAGGAGGCTGATGGAAAGCTGTACGTACGATATCAGGTTTTGGGGCATAACCACGTTGCCGTGCCGACGCACTTCTTCAAGGTGAGTGACAGGTTAATAACAAACACAAATATAAAATGTTTTTTATACATAGACGACACTGGGACATGTCTCCATGTAGTGTCTCTCCTGGGACATGTCTCCATGTAGTGTCTCTCCTGGGACATGTCTCCATGTAGTGTCTCTACTGGGACATGTCTCTATGTAGTGTCTCTACTGGGACATGTCTCCATGTAGTGTCTCTACTGGGACATGTCTCCATGTAGTGTCTCTACTGGGACATGTCTCTATGTAGTGTCTCTACTGGGACATGTCTCTATGTAGTGTCTCTACTGGGACATGTCTCCATGTAGTGTCTCTCCTGGGACATGTCTCCATGTAGTGTCTCTACTGGGACATGTCTCCATGTAGTGTCTCTACTGGGACATGTCTCTATCTAGTGTCTCTACTGGGACATGTCTCTATGTAGTGTCTCTACTGGGACATGTCTCCATGTAGTGTCTCTCCTGGGACATGTCTCCATGTAGTGTCTCTACTGGGACATGTCTCCATGTAGTGTCTCTACTGGGACATGTCTCCATGTAGTGTCTCTACTGGGACATGTCTCTATGTAGTGTCTCTACTGGGACATGTCTCTATGTAGTGTCTCTCCTGGGACATGTCTCTATGTAGTGTCTCTACTGGGACATGTCTCTATGTAGTGTCTCTACTGGGACATGTCTCTATGTAGTGTCTCTACTGGGACATGTCTCCATGTAGTGTCTCTACTGGGACATGTCTCTATGTAGTGTCTCTACTGGGACATGTCTCCATGTAGTGTCTCTCCTGGGACATGTCTCCATGTAGTGTCTCTCCTGGGACATGTCTCCATGTAGTGTCTCTACTGGGACATGTCTCTATGTAGTGTCTCTACTGGGACATGTCTCCATGTAGTGTCTCTCCTGGGACATGTCTCCATGTAGTGTCTCTACTGGGACATGTCTCTATGTAGTGTCTCTACTGGGACATGTCTCTATGTAGTGTCTCTCCTGGGACATGTCTCTATGTAGTGTCTCTCCTGGGACATGTCTCCATGTAGTGTCTCTACTGGGACATGTCTCCATGTAGTGTCTCTCCTGGGACATGTCTCCATGTAGTGTCTCTCCTGGGACATGTCTCTATGTAGTGTCTCTCCTGGGACATGTCTCTATGTAGTGTCTCTACTGGGACATGTCTCTATGTAGTGTCTCTCCTGGGACATGTCTCTATGTAGTGTCTCTACTGGGACATGTCTCTATGTAGTGTCTCTCCTGGGACATGTCTCTATGTAGTGTCTCTACTGGGACATGTCTCTATGTAGTGTCTCTACTGGGACATGTCTCTATGTAGTGTCTCTACTGGGACATGTCTCTATGTAGTGTCTCTACTGGGACATGTCTCCATGTAGTGTCTCTACTGGGACATGTCTCTATGTTCCCTCATTATTAGGGAGACATGCAGAGCGATCACCATCCACCTGGGTCCAAAATACATCAAGCTGCCTTTTACTGAGCCCGAGACCGCGGATCTGGTTGAGGGGTTCCATCATGCTCATCACATGCCACAATGTTTAGGAGCAGTGGACGGAACCCACATCGAAATCAAGCAGCCATCTAACGACTCCACTAGTTACATCAACAGGAAAGGCAAATATTCCTTTAATGTACAGGCTGTCTGTGATTACAAGTACCGATTCATGGATGTCGTGGTAAAGTGGCCTGGGAGTGTGCATGATGCACGGGTCTTTGCTAATTCCAAGCTAAACATGTACTTAAAAACTGGAAAGATCCCTGCCCTGAACAAACAGATTGTGGACGAAGAGGAGGCCATACCAATTTATCTTCTTGGTGATCCTGCCTACCCGCTGCTGCCGTACCTGATGAAGGAATATGCATCCGGTGGCTCCACAGCTCAGGAACAGTGCTTTGGGCTATCTTTGTGTAGGGCACGTATGGTCATTGAGTGTGCTTTTGGTCGCCTCAAGGCCAGATTTGCTGCTCTTAGAAGGCCTATGGACATAAACTTGGATGACCTGCCCCATGTGATTTATTCCTGCTTTGTCCTCCACAATGTGTGTGAGGCCAGTAAGGACGCTGTGGATGATCAGTCTGTGTTGGGAACAATTCAAGCTGAAAAGGACTTACAGCCTCCCACACAGTGCAATGGCTATCTCACTGACTGTAATGAGGGGGAGGGAAAGAGAGTGAGGAGAGTGCTTACGGAGTACATTGACCCTTAGGACTACATGAAAGACAGACTGTAATTTTTTTTAAAGGTGTTTATTAAGATGTGATAAACATTCTTTGTTACATTCCCTGTCCTCACTGTGCAGCTCCTTCAGCGACAGGCTGCTGTACAATATTCATATACCTGGCTAGGTATATGTACCTGGCTGCTAAATCTGAGGACTGTTACAGGATTTTTTGTATTATATCCTAACTTTTTTTAGTACTTTTTAATGCATGTCACATATGTGAAACTAAGCAAATAACTATGTGATTCTCCAATGTCCAAAGTGTGAAATTAAAAATAAAATTGGCTGCAACCACTTCCAGACTTTCTTTGAACATAATGTGCAACAAATGTCATCATCCTCATGAATGAAGTTATATGGCCCATTCTACCGAATTGGACCAAAGTGAGGTTGTCCATATATATTTTGTCTCTACTGGGACATGTCTCTATGTAGTGTCTCTACTGGGACATGTCTCTATGTAGTGTCTCTACTGGGACATGTCTCCATGTAGTGTCTCTACTGGGACATGTCTCCATGTAGTGTCTCTACTGGGACATGTCTCTATGTAGTGTCTCTACTGGGACATGTCTCTATGTAGTGTCTCTACTGGGACATGTCTCCATGTAGTGTCTCTACTGGGACATGTCTCTATGTAGTGTCTCTACTGGGACATGTCTCTATGTAGTGTCTCTACTGGGACATGTCTCCATGTAGTGTCTCTACTGGGACATGTCTCTATGTAGTGTCTCTACTGGGACATGTCTCCATGTAGTGTCTCTACTGGGACATGTCTCTATGTAGTGTCTCTCCTGGGACATGTCTCTATGTAGTGTCTCTCCTGGGACATGTCTCTATGTAGTGTCTCTACTGGGACATGTCTATGTAGTGTCTCTCCTGGGACATGTCTCTATGTAGTGTCTCTACTGGGACATGTCTCCATGTAGTGTCTCTACTGGGACATGTCTCCATGTAGTGTCTCTCCTGGGACATGTCTCCATGTAGTGTCTCTACTGGGACATGTCTCTATGTAGTGTCTCTACTGGGACATGTCTCTATGTAGTGTCTCTACTGGGACATGTCTCTATGTAGTGTCTCTACTGGGACATGTCTCTATGTAGTGTCTCTCCTGGGACATGTCTCTATGTAGTGTCTCTACTGGGACATGTCTATGTAGTGTCTCTCCTGGGACATGTCTCTATGTAGTGTCTCTCCTGGGACATGTCTCTATGTAGTGTCTCTACTGGGACATGTCTCTATGTAGTGTCTCTACTGGGACATGTCTCTATGTAGTGTCTCTACTGGGACATGTCTCCATGTAGTGTCTCTACTGGGACATGTCTCTATGTAGTGTCTCTCCTGGGACATGTCTCTATGTAGTGTCTCTCCTGGGACATGTCTCTATGTAGTGTCTCTACTGGGACATGTCTCTATGTAGTGTCTCTCCTGGGACATGTCTCTATATAGTGTCTCTACTGGGACATGTCTCCATGTAGTGTCTCTCCTGGGACATGTCTCTATATAGTGTCTCTACTGGGACATGTCTCTATATAGTGTCTCTACTGGGACATGTCTCCATGTAGTGTCTCTCCTGGGACATGTCTCTATATAGTGTCTCTACTGGGACATGTCTCTATGTAGTGTCTCTACTGGGACATGTCTCTATGTAGTGTCTCTACTGGGACATGTCTCTATGTAGTGTCTCTACTGGGACATGTCTCTATGTAGTGTCTCTACTGGGACATGTCTCTATGTAGTGTCTCTACTGGGACATGTCTCTATGTAGTGTCTCTACTGGGACATGTCTCCATGTAGTGTCTCTACTGGGACATGTCTCCATGT